GAACACAACGGTATTTCCGAAAGGAAACACCGACATATTGTCGAATCCGGGCTCACTCTTTTGTCTCATTCATCTATGCCATCAAAATTTTGGACATTCGCCTTTCCTACAGCGGTGTACTTGATTAACCGACTCATCATGCCGGTTCTTCAAGATCGCTCTCCTTTTGAACTCCTCTTTGATACCACACCAAACTATTCCAAACTCCGTTCTTTCGGATGCCTTTGCTATCCTTGGCTCCGACCTTACAGTCGTCATAAACTTGAACCTCGGTCTACTCCTTGTGACTTTGTTGGCTATTCACTTACCCAAAGTGCTTATCTTTGCTACAACGTCAAGGCCTCACGACTTTATGTCTCTCGACATGTTGAGTTTCGAGAATTTGAGTTTTCCTTCCCTCGATTGCTCTCCGAGTCACTGTCCACTTCTTCGGCAGTGTCCACCTCGTCTGTCTCTCCTTCCTACACATCTCTCATTCCTATTCGGCCATCAACATACACACCACCGCCTGCCATAGCTCCCGTCGTTGATCGTTTTCCAGTAAGAGACACAACTGCCTGGGGCATCACCGCATCCCCTCGAAGAACCGAACCAACAACCCTATCATTACCTCCTTCTTCCTTCGATTCCTTGGACATCACGTTAACCACTACAACCCAAAACTTACCTGGCACGTCACAACCAACCCATCAAACCGAGAATCCTACCAACCCCGACAATCCTCAAAACAGACATCCTATGATCACACGCTCTAAAAACTCCATCTCCAAACCAAATCCAAAACATTCACTTACCATTACAACCAAACCTAAACCCACCATAAATCCTATCTCCCACACCGACACCATGGAACCTACGAGCGTGACACAAGCCTTGAAGGATCCTAAATGGCGGAGTGCAATGACCGATGAGTTTAATGCCTTGCTTCGCAACGTCACTTAGACTCTTGTTCCTTCGGACCCCTCCTATAATGTGGTCGGTTGCAAATGGGTTTTTCGAACTAAATATTTATCTAATGGTGATGTTGATAGGTACAAAGCTCGGCTTGTGGCAAAGGGTTTTCATCAAAGACCCGGTATTGACTTCACCGACACCTTCAGTCCTGTCGTTAAGCATACTACAGTTCGGGTTGTTTTGAGTATTGCGGTCACTCGTGGTTGGTGTCTCCGCCACCTTGATGTCAACAATGTGTTTCTTCAAGGTACCTTACATGAAGACGTATATGTTGCTCAACCACCGGGCTTTGTGGATCGAGATCGTCCTACTCATGTTTGTAAGCTCCACAAAGCACTTTATGGTCTGAAACAAGTGCCTCGTGCTTGGTACATAGAGCTCTGTCGTTTTCTCCTTGACTCCGGGTTTGTAAACTCTTTGTCCGACACATCATTGTTCATCTTCAACAAATCTGATGTCATCATCTATCTTCTTGTCTATGTTGACGACATTGTTATCACGGGGAACAATTCCAACGAAGTACAGCGGTTCATTGACTTACTAGTCGGCCGGTTCTCGTTAAAGGATCTTGGGTCGTTGGCTTTTTTCCTTGGTGTTCAAGTAACTTGGTCACCCGAGGGAATTCTTCTTAGCCAAACTCGTTATGTCTCCGATATACTCAAGCGTCACAACATGGCTGCAGCAAATCTGGTTCCAACTCCATTACCATCAACATCGGCTCTTCAACTACACTCCGGGACACCTCTTGATGATCCGACATAATATAGACAAGTGTTGGGCAGCCTTCAATATATTCTCTTTACGCGCCCGGACATCGCATTCGTCGTCAACAAGCTCTCGCAATATATGCATCGTCCAACGACTGATCACTGGAAAGCCTTGAAAAGAGTTCTCCGATATCTAAGTGGCTCTCGCTCTCTTGGAGTTTTCTTATCGAGCGCCACGCCTTCCACACTACATGCCTTCTCGGACGCAGATTGGGGAGGTAATCGCGACGATTTTATATCTACTAGTGCCTTTATTGTCTACCTTGGAAAGAATCTGATCTCTTGGTCATCTAAGAAACAACGGTTTGCAGCAAAGTCATCTACCGAAGCCGAATACAAATCTGTCTCATCCACCGCTTCGGAGGTTCAATGGATTCTCTCTCTACTTTCTGAGCTTGGAATTCAAATTCCCGACATGCCGGTTATTTACTGTGACAACATCGGCGCGACATATCTCTCGGCTAATCCGGTTTTCCACTCACGAATGAAACATATCGCCATCGACTATCATTACATCCGAGGGCTAGTACAAGCGAAGAAACTACGCGTAGCTCACGTCTCTTCCTCCGACCAACTTGCTGATGCTCTTACAAAGCCACTCCCTCGGCAACGCTTCGGTGTTCTTCGTGCCAAGATCGGACTCACCTCCGAGACCGCTCTTGCGGGGGTATATTAGATATACACAGATCTAGGAGAATCTTTTTCAATTATTTTGAATATGTAATCTTTCCTAATATCTCGCATCTCCAATTGTGTATATACCCCGTGTAATTGTCATTGTGAATACTAAGAGAAAACATTCTGCAAACCCTAAAGTGTATTAAGATTTTGTAGTCTCTGCCACGTGATAGAAACAACGTATTAATTCATCATGTCTTGTTATAAAAGTTTATAAGTTTCCTAGGAATAAGTGTTTCGGTTCGGTTCTATTCTTCAAATCGAATAAAAAAATATGGTATTTTTTACTATCCGAATTTTTTTGTTAAAAAAGACCTATTTTTTTTATAAAATCTGGAATCGAACCGCAATCGAAACCGAGTTGAATATAATATAATAACCGATTGATACCTATTTTTATAAGAGCGAAAGGACCGAACCGAACCATTTTCGACCCGAACCCGACCCAAATATCAAAACGCCACCCCTATGTTTTCGCAATCATCATTAGGTGTAAAAATATAGTGTTTAATTATGATACAAAATCTTATTAAGTAATTCAAAGATATAACATAATTTTGATAAGTTAATGATGTCTTTGAAACATCCATCTCTTCCGGGGAACCCCTAGGTGAGTTGGCAATGAGCATAGTCAACATACCGAGAGGTTGGAGGTTCGACTCTTTGCCCGCTCACCTATCGCCTGTCAGTTACGGCTGCTTTACCACCCACGCGTGTGTTGCAGGCTCGTGCGTGTGGGCTTGAGTTTACTCCGTCAGCGCGCCCGAAGGGTAGCAGCCGGGGTTCCCAATGTATAAAAAAAATATCCAATCTCTTCCAATATAAAGATTGACGACCAAATTGAACTGATTTTCGTGCTAATTAAGTGTATGTACCATCGTATATTTTTTCTCTGTATTTCCATAATGTTTGAACAATTTATATTTATCTCTTTTCCACCCATATGATTTCCCTTGATTTCAGTATTTATAATTTTATTTGAATTACTTGATAAAAAAAATGGTAAAGAGGTAGGGACCCAACTTTCTGATAGTTTTTTTGCTTATAAAAAAACCGATTTTTTTTTTGTGAAATCACCATAATGGGCTTTGATCATGGGCCCTTATACTGTGATTGTTTCATACTTAAGCAAAGCCCAATTTAAATAGTTTTGGGCTATAGGCCCAAGTCTGAAAAGATTTAGGGCTTGAGAATGGGTAATGGGATTTGGGAAAACTAGTATCTTATCTTTTAAAGTTTGGGACACAATTTATATAGAAAAATAAAAAAAATAAAAACAACTATAGAAATGTATGTAAGAAGTCTAAATATGTTTCAAGAGTTAATTAGAAAATGAATTTTGGAAGTCGTTTATGATAATTTCTGTTCTCGTATTGAAATAATTTTTTTTCTTCTTAAATGCAAAATCCTCTTTCACAATATTTGACGTTTTAACTTTTTTCACATTTTTTTTAAGAAAACAATAAAAAATCATATATACCCTTTAATAACACAAAGATTGATGTTATCATTAATAATCTATTGGAATTTGTTAGTTTTTATTAAGGATAAAATTGGAAATTATTTTAAAATTTGGTCCAAAAAATCTAAAATGATAATTATTTAGAAACACAAAAAATTATCTAAAATGTCAAATTTTGTGAAATGGAGGGAGTAATTAATTAACCACCATATAATATTTAACTAAAAGTTATTTACTTGAGAATAGGAAAAGATTTCTCTTAATTTTTTTTAAATTTTTGAACAGTTTTCCATGTTTCCTAATAAATTTATTCGATTTTTTGAATTTTGGAGAACTTTTTTTTCATTTTCCATTTAATCACCAAAAATGAGAAAAATGGTTAGAGAATAGGAGACATGTCCACGATTAGAGGGCGCATATTAAATATGCAGATCTAATTAACAACTGATTATCTCTGTTTTTTGTTTTAATTACCAAAAAGTTTTTAATTAATGCAATTGCCAGATTTACTAGCGCGTGAATCTCAAACGAGCACCCCTACAAGGAGACAAGCTGGAGAATCTGCACAGATTTTGAGATTTTATTTTTATTTACCATCACATGCCTTAAAAAATATTTACGGCTCCAATTTTCATTCTCCTCATACAAAATTTTCATTTTATAACATATATTTTCCACAAGGAAAAATTATATAACTAATATTTTATATAAGTAGTGGTTTGGTATATATATATATATATATACAGCCCTATGGAGTAAAGCTGTTGATATAGTTATATATAATTCTGATTTCGAATTCTGAGTATGGAAAAACTTTTGACTATCATCAAATACGATCTGAATTCTTTTGAGAAAAATATTGAAAAATAAATTATTTTGCACAAAAAAAAACAGAAAAAAATATTTTGGAATTTGTGAAAATCCTGATTTCTTTTTTATTTTTCTGAAGGGTCAAGAACACGTATGCTTGTGGAAAAAGAGGAGAAAAATAAATAAATAAAAACAAATGAGAGAGAGAGAGAATGAGAACAGAAAGAGAGGCAGCCTTAGCCAAAGGGTTCGTGTCGGCTTCAACCAAACACTGACGGTGTATGTATACACCTTTACATACACGCTTCACATCCATATGTCTATAATAATTCTATCTACAATATATACAGTTTCTCTGTGTTACTGTGCATCATTTTGATGATTGTGATAGCAATTCCAATCCTTCGTCTCTCTAGATTTTTTACTGTTCCTATCATTTTCATCGTTGTCTTTTCTGGGTTCTTGGAACCCTAGCTGGTTTCGATCGATTTGTTTGGATCTTGGGAACATTCGGGTTGAGTAAAAGGTTTGATTTTGATTTCTGGGTCTGCTTCTTTCTGTCGATTGATGTGTGAGATGCTGTTTGGTTGCGTAGTAAATGCAGGAAAATGAGGAGACTTTCGAGCTTCTTGGTCGGATTTTGTGCTCTGGATCTATGTCGTGACTTAGTTGGATTTGATTTTGGGAGTGATCTAGGTCAAGGATCATCACTGAGTTACAGATCCGAAATCCAATACCTTTTCACTTTCTGATTTTGGGTTTTTTCTGAATCTCCTCCCTTCCAACCATTGTATAAGAGATGCATCTAAATTGGTATTTCTCCTTCGTGTCTACTCAACGTTGATTCGTTTTGTTTCCGGGTGCTTGGAGTTAGCCCGTAGCTTTCACTCCCTTTCTTCCCAACTAACGCTGGTGGCTCTGTATGAGATTTGAGGTTTGGGGTTAAAACTCAGGGTTTGTTGACATGATTCCTGTACCAGAAGCTTAAGCAAATTTCTTTTGTGTACAGTCTGTAGGAGAAGTACTGATTCAAGAATCCAATCCGTATTTTTTCTGGCTTTCGCTTTATGGTGTTCTCTTACCCCTTTGTCTCAGTTGCTAGTACTGCTCTCCTATGTCGGTGATAGGTTTTGAGAAGCCAATTCTTTTGGTGGACATGATGTAAAGCAGAGTAGATGCTTAACTAGCTGATGTTATTTTTTCGGTAAATCTTTTTGAGTGTTTAGTGTTGCTTAGTGAAATCTGTCTGAATGTTTTGTAGTAGAGGAGGATTAGTGCCCAGTGTTTTCTTGTTTTAGGCAGGCAATTCTAACATACATTTTCTCTTCTCTTCTTTCGCCAGGTAGATTGTCTTCATCTTCAGATTTAAGTGGACCCAAATGGCAACAGCTAGTAATAATCCATCTGGAAGACCATGTGGAGGTTTGCCATGAATCTCTGCTACTCTTTAATGCTGTCGATATCTTTGCTCTTTTCTACTTAATGTAAATAGAATCTTGGGGTTACACTTACTAGAACTATGATGGTATCCGTTATCACTTGGAATTATTGACAAATTTGTTTGATTTCCTTTTTCTTTAAGGGGAAATGAAACTTGCATTTGTTAGGTGAGTGCTTCACTGGCACAGTGATTAAGGGGTTTAAAATGTGAGAAGGTTTGAGAGTCGGGTAGTGTTTAGAAGGGAAACTTATAAGTGTCAGTATCAGTACAAGCTTTTGTTTTGTTCTTGAGAGACCATGTGTTATATATCCTTGTACTGTGTGACATTTTTTCATTTCTTTCTGCTGGTATTGATGGCCATTCCATCCTTTTGTAGGGA